TTGACTTCGATTGCCATGCGTGGACTTCATTCTTTCACCGTTAATTTAGTGCAGTGGAAACAAATTACCTTCTGTTGCAAAAACATTTCAACGATTTGTTTGTTTGCCTTGTTTAGTGCGGTAATTAATTTTTATTGTACAATAACAAACAAATAACGATTTAAATACTTTTTTACAAAAGCATTTTGATTAATTCTTTGAAAAAAAAATGTTCAATTTTGTGGAGCTTAAATATACAGTTACTCCGCCTCGGACTCGGTCTCGAAATATTATGGCTCGTTCTGAAATAGTAAACACATGAGTTTCAATGATGATTCAATGGATGATGGATTTTTATGAGGAACTTTTACTTCCCGTTAGAATACACTAGAAGAGCTTGGCATTTCCTTTAATGGCATTTATTTAAAAAAAATAATAATACTTAAAGTACTGAGAAATTCCAAATTTTCCAGCTCGTATGAAACGTTTATTAACCGCAACTAATTAAGTCCGGAACTGCATTCGAAATTATTCCGTAGTGCTTTTGAACTAATCGAAATTAACCACAAGGGAAAAACATTGGTGTCATAGTGATCCAAAAATAATTTCCCAGTCAATGACAATATCAAAAAGTTATCCGAAATTTTCCGAAATGTTCCGAAATGACTTGCCTTCATACCGAAATGCTCCTAACTGGTTCCCGAACGGATGTACAAAAGACCCAGGACTACAAAAATGAATGAAAATAGTCTGGTTTGCTTTCCAATTTAACTCTTAAATTGTGCCCCATCAAATCATCGGACGGATCCGATTAAAATCCAATATATCCTCATATCGATTTCCAAATTTTCCGGTAAACTCTATGAATGTTAACATAAGTTTTTATTTCCTTTTTGTTTTCGTGGGCATTGCGGACTGTTATGGTTCTTCGTACGAAGTGAGTTCCTTACCTCGCCTTTAGTTTCTTATCAGATATAATAGCAAATTTCAAGATTTCAATATACAATATGTGGACATAAGATTTTGCATGTCCTTCTGCTGCGAGCACTGTTGCGCAGTTTAGTTATTTCGCAATTCGTTTCATGGCCACTGTTTGCTCAGCAAAATTTTCTCAACATCTGGAAAACCGCATATTCTTCGGAATTTCGCAAAGCTTCCGCCGATGCGCGCAAAGGTAAGCAGACAAAAGGGGATTTATGTACTTACTGGTGATACTACCTGAAAATAACCATTTGCAGATATGCTGTCAGAGGCTCTTGAAGCAGCAAACATGTATGTATATATGTTGGCATGCAGAGAACTTATTATAAGTTCTCTGGGCATGTGTGAGTGTGTGCAGAATGCGCGTGAGTGCATGTCAAACAGCTTTGGTTGCAAGAGTTTAAACGAGCAAAGCACAAAAAGTAAATAAAAACCAAATACAACAAAAAGCAGTTATTGCCCTGTTGGAAATGTGTTAATTACTGTTTAAGCTGGTTGCGCGGTCTGAGCGATGCCTTGAGATTTTTTCTCCGATTTCGCTTCTTTTGCGCAATTGAAGTTCGTTTCTGACCTTTTGATCATTAGTGCATAGAAAAGCAGGACAAGTTAGCGAGTCCCATCACAGTACCTTTGAAATGCCGAACGCACAACCTTTAAGTTTGTAAAGATTTGCTTAGTAAAGACAAGGAAAAAAGCGCAGACGAAACGGTTAACTTCGAACACAAGTAATTCATTTACCACAATATTTCTCTCCAAATTATTTCCTTAGGGACATCCGAGCCTCTTACCACGTTCACATGCGTATACAAACATGTCATTGCATGTCCTCATGCACCAACCACCACAAACGCGTTTGCATCAATCTGGTAGTTGCATGAAGTGTTAAAACAACAAGATACTTGTACAGTTATAAGACAACATATGAAGTGGCCAAGCCTAGTGACTGTTGTTGCTTTTTTAGTTGTTGGAATAGAGCGGTAATGCAGCGGACGGGCAGGTAGTGGAATTGTTGCTCATCCACTTGTAAGCGGATGTAAAATGTACTAAGTCGTTGTTGTTGTTGTTGTTGTTGCTATACGTACACATATACACCAATGCACACATATACACCAATGCATTTCAAAGAATTCCTTGTTCCCAAAAATACTTGACATTTCGTGCACTCAACTGAAGGCCATATAAACAGATATTCGAGTAAAAAGAGTTTTGGGATTTTCTTTGTTTCAAATATCCTGCTGCCGCCAATTATTTCACATGAAAATATTTAGCGTGTATGTTAGTTGTAATGTAAGAGCATACTTGCTGCATACCTTTGCCACGAGTATTTGAACCATTCATTTTTTAACAAATAATTTGCTTTTGTTTCATTTATTTTTTTGCTCTTGTAGCCGAACATTTTCATAAAATACCTTTCGCTAACATGCTACAATATTTTGTAGAATTACTGTGCGATGCCTCAGGTGGTTGTTGTGGCATGCGTGCCGGAGCGAGTTCTTAAAATAAACGAAGCAATGCGTCTCATGTGCGGCGCAATAGAGGGGAGAGTGAAAGCTGAAGCAATAAATTCATTGGAATGTTGATCTTCTATAGCACTTTGAAGTTCACGTGATGCTAGATGTTAGAAAGTTTAGTTTTTAGAAACAAAGCAAAAATGTAGTCAAGTTTTGAAAAAAAGCCAATTTCGGGGAGAACAATTATGATTGAGGGGCATGTGGATTTTAAACATATTCAAAGACTTTAGAGACAATGAAGTGAGGAACATTAGCCCGCCCTTGATTTAGGTACTTTGTGTAGACATCAACATTTTTCAACTGTAAATTTTTTCTACAACCGATATCTATATTAAAGACATCTCAAAAGCAGAGTTATCTAATACTATTTTTATTTAATAAACATATGTCATCTTATCTAAGAGTTCCTTATCAAAAATACGCATTCGTGTTTTTTAGAATTTTCCCCCATAATTACTCTGGGCTTGCTTTCAGTCTTATCTCTATTTTGTCGTGTGGTTCAAAACAAAAAGTATACAAATGGTCAATATTCTGTGTGAGAACATTAAAATGAAAGTGAAAAAAAAGTAATCGCATAAAAGTGAGTTTGCTTTTTTATTTAAACACATGAAGTGCACAATCCTACAAAGTTATTTAATTTGTACATAATTTACTACGAGCAAATGCCGCCTGCGTCTATTGTGCATGTATGTTTATATGTAGACTCGTTTCGTTCAGCATTTATCTTTATCTTAGGCATAAGGGATATGGCAACAAAAAGTTTTATCTTATCTGAAATGAGTAAACAAATTCATTTGCGGTAAATGTAGTTCATTAAGAAATATTGTTCAACACCACACCCGCCACCAGCACCGGTAACCGATGGTAACTTTTTTTTACAACTACGCAAGAGCTGACACCATTACTCTGATCCAAAGTAAGTACATAAATAGCAGAAGAAGAAGAGATATGCCCATCAAAAGGTAAATGGTTTTCTGCACACATGATGAATTACATATCCGTGCTGACAATTATCGACTGACCAAAGTAAAAGGTCGTCAGAAAAGCGTTTAAATGTTTGAAAATCGGATACACAAACGAACATTGGTACCAAAAATCATCGTCCAACCACTTTTTCAGATATAAGAACTAATATTTACAGGCTTATTCTTTCGAGGTAATAACATTTATTTTAGTATTAAAGTTTTCCATTCAGTAAATTTTGTTACTATTTCATATTCTGAGTTCACTGTCCTCCTGGAATTCATTGAAAATGAAGAAAAAAGTGCAAAAAGCTGCTTGTCAAGAAGTTTGCGAGTAAAACATACCCTTTTATTTGGAAGATAGCGTTTTCATCCAGCTCTTTTTTGTCGATTACGCATTCTTTCAATAACAAGGTTCAAATATTTAATAAATAAATAAATAAATAAAACATATTTATTTTGTTGCCCACCGTCCTCCATTTCGATGTGAATATTCTGCTGCCAAAGTTTTTTCAAACATTGTAATCAGTCCACCAGAATACCGAATTCCATTTCGGATGATAAAAAAGATAACAAAATTTAGTTTAACGGTAACAAGGAGAATAGGCTTGTTAATAAGGTATAAATCGAAGCCGGCTCTTCTTTCTAATTTTTAGTTTCAATTATGTTACATTTGTTAAAAGGCAATTTACATATATATATTTTAATGAAAAGAAGTTCATTCTCTTTGAAATGTTTAAATGCCGTCAAACACTTTTTCCACTCCCGCTCCATGCAACAGACTCAGGGATTTTGTATTTTGTATTATAAAAGGCAAAATATGAGTGAATATACAAAATTAAATTTTTCTATTCTGCAAGAATCAATTTTAAATCAAAAAAACTAACAAATTGTATTCTATGTACGGAGGTTATTTTTAATATTTTTTTTTTGCTTCGGCACTTCAATTTTACACGTTTTCTTTAATTAATTCTTAAACTTTACTAACTCAGAAATAACTTTGGAAATACGGATTGGAAGCGAATCGTAAAGCGATGGTTTTTTAGCGACAGAACATCTTGAAATTGTCATCAACCTACCTTACGCGCAGGGCAACATTCTTCGTTAAATAAAACACTTTTAGTTTAAATTAAATACATTTGTATTCAGTATATTAAGGTTATTACTCTAAGAAGAGGTCATGAATCAATATAGTCAGCGCTGTATTCAGGTGGCCATACTAGATGTACGATATAGGAGTTTTTATCACTCTGCGTTTGGTGGACATGCTGGCTTCAACTTCGAATTTCGACGAATATTTACCGCAGAGCACCTTCAGTTTGATGCCTTCCGTAGGATTCTTCGCTTTTCGCAAGGCGTCACTGCTTGCCTATGGTGTTTATATATACTTTCCATGTCATTGCTCGGAAGTGCATTAAAGTGTTTGACATACAGACATCCTCAGTCTCTTCGCTTGGATTGCTTAAAATATATAAACTAAAATAAAATATAAAATATTTTATAACAACAAGTAATTATTTATTTATGTTATTTTTAATAAATTTTTTTTTAATTTATTCAATTACAGATATTTCCAAAATGGCGGCAAATGTAATAACAATTACCGAAACACTGGATTGCTAAGGTGTTGAATGTGTGTGTACATACTGTAGCAGCGTTAAACTCAGATAATCAACACAAAAGGCAAGTTTAAGCATTTTTAAATATTTTCTACAATAATGTTGCAGCTGAACTGGCGAAGATAATGACGTAGAAACTCTAGTTTTGGTACTTTTGGTACTTTCAGCCAGAGAATGTGTTGCTCTGTTTTATAGTAAAGGTTGATCCGTTCAATAAAATATAAATTTTTATACAGAATTTGACAATAGTTCTCAGTTGTGCTTGAACTGAAGTTAGAGAAAATACATCACTCTGGTATGGCACTTGCCGCAGTCACATACGCAGGTGCCCATGTAAAAGACCAAACTCACACACTCACAACAAAGTTAGGACATGAAAGTCAAGTAAACAAGAACAACTTGGAGCTGTCAAGTCAGTCAGTCCCTGCTTGCTGACTTTGAAGTTGGAGCACAAATGAGGTAATCAATGAACTCTGGGCTGAGATTGGCTGAGGTTTGATATTAAATCAAAATCGAGGAATGCGAATAACGAATGATAAACTATGTAAAGACCAGTTTTCAATTCGATGCAGACTTCACAGCTCTTTTATTAAGCTTATCTTCACTAACAACAAACACACAAAGGCAATCGCAGCAATTAAGAGGCTGAATAATTTGCGCACAAAGAGCGAGATAGCATGCGAAGACAAATATTTGTTCATTTGTCCTTTAATTGAACCACAAAGCGGGCATTAAAATATACGCACACAATGTTGTTGTTCATTCTCGTATATATATATATATATATATATATATATATGAAAAAACATATGTAAGTAAAGTACAACAGCGCTGAGCTTATCAGTCAGTCTGCACGGCTGCTAAAATAACTTTGAATGGCTGAAAGGTAGTATAAATGAAAACGACTTTTTATGTTTGATTACACTATGTTACAGCTCGGAAAAACTCAGCAACCAAAACCTGAATCGACTTGAGTTCAGTGAAGCTCGTGCACTTTTTTTGACTAAGCGATATAACGAATTCTCAAACAAAAGGACTAAGAAATTTTTTGAAAACAATATCGACTTTTAAATTGTTTGAAAATTAATTCAATCTTTAAATTCTTTGTACTTGGAAAAAGGTCTTTCAAAATTGTTTATCGAATGCTAAATTTAGAGCAAAAAAATGTTTTATTTTGGTTAAGTATAATATTTAATTTAGTTTTTCTTTCTTCAAATAAAGTTTTTCAACAACTACTGTTTTCCGCTAACTTTAGATAAATGCTGTAACTGTTTTTTTTTTTAATTAAGTAAGTTATTACATTGATATTAAAATTTCATTAAGCCAAAGCGAAATTGTTCAAATTTTCATGTATGTATATATAATTCACAAAGCGATTTTCATGGTTCTGCCGACAGTCGGAGGGACCAACAGTTTATTTTAATTCATCTCCGAACGGCTAAAGAATTTTATAATTATTTTTCTATAACTTTGTTATGGCTAAATGGCTGTTAGTCTAGCCAGGATTCGAACTCGTTACTTTCCACATAGAAGCACTCACGAGCTGAAAATAATTACATTTGCAGCACAGTGCTCGGTGGTCCTCCATGGGTGTACATATATACATGTGCATCGTGCATAATTGCGGATCGCTTTGTATGCCTAGCAATTACGCCGGTCGGCTGGTTGAATGGCAAATGAAATTCAACAAACTCAACTTGTGGGATCTTGTCATTCATGCAGTCAATTGTTTCGCATTCAGCCACTGTATCTGCTGCCATGCAAATGCCGTTCAGAGGCGCCCGCATCGACGCAGTTATATCGTTACTCATACGCCCTGTAGCGCTTCAGTATTCAAACACAAATGCCCCCACTCATTGCGGCAACTTATTAATGCCATAGTCATATCTCACAACAAATTTTCACATGCGGGCAAGCGTTCATAACTTCATGAATGGCACGCACAAAAATATTTGACCATTGTTAAGGATCTCAGTGCGGGTGTAACTGTGTTTGCAACCATTTGGTGGTAATTATATGCAAACAAATGTTGCCCTAACATTCAACGTTGGCTTCGTTTTGTAGGAATGTTCAGTATCCTTAAAGCTAAATGAACTAGTTAAGATCTAAATTGGGACTAGTACACCAAGCATGTCCAACTAGTTAGCCAACTTTTCTGCTTCATTAAAACAGCAAATAATTTTACTACGGAGTTGCAATTATTACCAATGTGGAACTACTAATGCGATTTCATGCATTTAAATACATTGCTTTGCTGGTAGTGTTTCTCACTAGCTTGACTTTGCACTTCAGGGATATGGCAACATCATTTATTCAGATTGACAAAAGAAAGCAGACATTCATTCCTGTCACAAAGCACGTAAAAATGCACGAAAGAAAGAGGAGAGAGAGCATTGAAGTGTCGCCTAACTCACATACGATGTAAATATCTGATTGATATGCTTGAGTGCGCGCTTACAACAGCCGCCAAAGAGCAAGGGGGCCAAGCTGACGCATTGCCTAATGGTCGAAGGTCTTTTGCCTGCTGGTAGTAAACTAAACACAACTTCATATATAGGCGTACATAGCTATTTGTCAGCTCATTTGCTTGCTTATTTATATCATCTGACTTCTATTTACACATTCTGTTTCCTCTCTGCTGCTATTTATTATTCTTTCTCTCTCTCCCTTAATTTTTCTTCCTTCTCCAGCTTCAGTTTTGATTATTTATTTATTCATATTTTTCATATGAGTTTGCATTGTGTCTTTTTACTTGTATATGTTAGAAGAAATTTTGAGAAAGATGTAAAAATATATATGTATGTATGCAAAGAGATGTCAAGCGAAGACACTGTCTCAAGGCTCACTGCTGTGCTTGGTTCGTTAACTTTCACTATGCCATTTAACCTATTTACATATAAAAACAACAAAATCAATGTTAACATCAGCAACAAAAGCCCAAATGGGCAGACTTACATTACACAAATACATCCTTAACATAATATTATCTGTATGTGCTTTGCGCCCAGAGCGTTTGAGGAGCAAACAAATATGTCAGTAATAAAAAAATATACACAGCGTCTTTCTTTAGATTTGAAAAAGTTCACCTACCCAAATGTGCTAAAATATCCATAAACAAATGTTGCTCTTCTTGAAGTAAGCGTAGAGTATATATATATATCCATTTCCACCATATTTTTCTCTGACAACTCATAGTGAGACTTATGTAAACTCGAGTAGTCTGCCACACCTACCATACTGCCAATGCACATCTCCTTCGGCTCACTGTCATTATGCATGTAATTTGGTTATACAACACCTGACAGAAGATTTATTTCCTATTCTCCGATGGCATCTCTGGGAGTTATTGCACCTACCATTTTCTAAATAATGCTGATAACAAGTTTAACTTTCAATAACTCTAAGTGTAAAGAATTTCTTGCGAATGAGTCAAAATTACTTTTTATGCCTTTCATGTACATGAATTGGTAAATTAACTTTATTCCGCGGGATGTAAGTAGCAAAAGGGGAAGAGTTAGGCCTATCGAAATTTATACCGCAAACTGGTCCTTCGTCTTATGAGATATTTGAACCAAACTTGGTGGACAAATGCACTGTTTCATCTAAGCATTACTCGTCGGAAGAGAGCAGAGTGGATCGAAGGACTTTAACATACGGCCACCATAGCCACCTTTCAATTACAGTCTGGACTAAAATTTATAATTCTTCCAGTTAAGATGGGTTCAGTAACCATGCCCCAAAAGTTTGTTCGAAATGAGCATCCCTATGTAAGGTTAACATTCATAAGCTCCAATTTTTGAAACGTATACATATGTAGGTATGTAATATTATAGGGAATTCATAAGAGCTCATTATAAATAATTAATTTATTGTAAATAAATTCGCAAAGCTCCAATGGGCTCATCATTCAATGTACTCCATTGTACGCACTTGTATAATTCTAATATTAAAGCGAATTTCCTCCGCCCACACGTATGGGAGTATTAGTGTTGAAGTGACTTTTATTTGTATTTTTGTATCAAATTTGTAATCGTATATTGGCTTATGTCACTTGGCTAATGAGCAAATATTTTATTAAATATGCGACAATTAATGAAAATGAGCATTCCATACAAGCACACATAAACTCGTCAGCCAGTTTATCCAATAACGGAAATTTATACATACGCCTTATAGAATCTGTGCGCCGGCAAACTCTCTTCATTATGACATTCGATATCGTGCAAGTGTTGTGCTATATTTATACGAGGCGGATATTGAATTTGCAATTATTGTAAATTTGTATTCCAATATACATAAATAAGTTGATAAATATTTGCATTTACCTTTTAAAATTATTATTTTTGAATTATGCCCTTTCGACATTGAGTGCCCATATTTGGACGTATGTACGTGTATGTACACATTTGTAGTTACACAAATAAATATTTACAATTAACTCCACTAAATAATGCATTATATTTGAATATTTATTTTATATTTTCGCATGTTTGTATGTAGGTATTTATGGAATTAAGCATGTCAAGCGAATTAACATCGATATTCCAGATGCTAAACATCATAAGCTCTAAAAATATCAAACGGTCAGTGCGCTGCGTGCAAAGCTAACTGCATACATATTTTTTAAGCTTAAAATTGGCAATTTTTAACAAGGCCGATGTTCTCCACCGATTTGTTGTGTGCACCTTGCTGTTTTGCCGACATATGTGGATGTTCCAAGGGATGTGCGGAGCTTTTATTTCATAGTTGGACCAGGACTCGAACCTTGGCCTTTCGAACGGTAGTACGCTGTTAGCAAAGTGCCGTAGGCTAAATACAATGTCAAAATTTCAATATTTTATTCACTAAAACGTTAAGTGGTAAATGCATACACCACATAACTAAATGATTAGGTAGGCATGTGCAATCGGCTTATTTATTTTAAATAGTGAGGAAAAATGTATATTTATTACAGCCAAAAAATAACTGAATATTTTTTATTTACCCCAAATGAAGCCAACCACCAATACCAAAATAATAACCACTACTACTTCTATCTTCTTCTCGTCGTTTTACTGCCTCTCT